AGTTAAGCTTTGGGAGAGTGTGGAGTAGAAGAGGCTCAGTCTCCACCCTTAGGGGATTCATAATATCCAGAAGGCAAAAGGGAAAACATGCAAATAATAGATGACAAATACTAAAACAGACGTAAAAGCAGAGTGCAGAGGAAGGGAGGATCAAGGTTGGCTTCTTGGGAGAAGTGGGGTCGGAGCCTATCTGTGAAGGCTGAGAAGGATTTGCCAATTTGGAAGGTCTAAAGGTAACATAGAAGGCCAACGTAGAAATAACACGGTGGCAGGCGCAGGTGCAAACTATGGCAAGAATTGGAGGACCAGTAATGCTCAAAGGGCCTTGGAGACCAAGGGTTGTGTGTGTATGTTGGGGGAGGATTGCACAAGAAAAATGGTGGTGAACGGTTGGGTCACATGGAAGAAGGCTGAGAATTCCATGCAGTATGCAGTTTGATTCTAAGGCAGCGGGAGTCCGTTGCTGATTCTTGAGGACTGGGAACCCCATTTTTGAAGATCTTGGCAGTGATGTGATGGATATAGTGGATGGGGAAGAGTTGGATGTATATTTTCATGGTGCATGTTATGTCATTTATTTACACTTTTCTTCCATTTATGATGAAGCTCCTGAGGGCTGGCATGGCAATTCCCATGTCCTTTGCTGGCAGCACCCGTCTTCTGCCACCTGGAGGGCATCTCCCACTGCCCTGCAGAGAACGTTTACTCTGTACCTGTTTACATCTGACAGTTGTCCGAAACTGAGGCTGCAAAGCTTTGTAACTTGTGCAGCCAATTTAAGAGGGTTCCATGAAAGAAGTGAACCATGCAAAGTGTTACAGAGCAAGGTTGCCAGGTAACTTTCTTGGCTTGTGTGCTGAGACCTGTGTCATGATTTTGACCCCCAGTAGTCCCCAAATGATTGTCTTCATTAGTCCTAGCAAAGGGCTAACATTGCTGATCTCTGGGGTAGGATGCCTTCCTACGTACCACACATTGCTCCATTTAGGAACACCTGGAATGGCTGTCGAAACTCCACTTTTTCTGTCTGTGAAAAGGCTTTGTCTCAGTCTGACCTTCCAGCACCTACAAGAGAGAGCAAAACAAAACAAAAACGAAACAAAAAAAAACCCTCCCCCTCTACAGCCCTGGCTAATTACATCTCTGCACCAGGAAAATCGATGATATTTTAAGAAGTAAAACTGCACTCAGAAGCAGAGCAAGTGTACCGTTCGCTTTTGTAGAAGTTGCCACAGCAACATGAGTTGGAGTGCTTCCCCCACGTCCTAGGCTCCCCTAAAATCTGCTTTAACAAATTGTCCTAGAAAAATACTGAGCTGGGAAATGGTGTCTTTTGCTCACTAAGAATGTCATTATCTTTGATCAATGTGAGTGGAGCCCCAGAATGAGATGCAGAGCATCACTTATAACAAATAATATTGCAGAATGAATAAAAATGATCAAAGTGGAGTTCTCAACCAGCCAAACAGGATTCTGAAGCCAAAAATAACCCTCCCCCTTGCTTATGGGGGAAGAAATGAAACCAAGGCCTGGCTGGCCCTGGGAGTGCATTTCCTAGGGACCATGGTACCCAAGCCAAGAATTGTTGAGTGCCATGCCTGTTTCTTACTGACTTTGATGCTGATGTGGAAAAACAAGGTAGGAAAACCGATCATTTGTTGCTATGTCCTTGTACCAGAGTCTTTGCAGAGCTTCTGCATCTCATCAAACAAGACTATCTCCAGAAAAGGCAAAGAAGGTCAGACAACATGGTTGGCTGAACATAAGGCCAGATACCCAAGGAGCAGTCAGTGAATCACCCTCTTACACTGGGCCACAGTGATGAATGGAAAGTGTCAGAATTCGAATTCTGGTGTTGGAAGACACTTGAGAAAATTGCAGTTCCATCTCTCTGTTCCAAGAGAGAGGCACTCAACATTGGCACAGTGTTTAGTGAGTTGAGTTGAATTTGGATGCTATCTGACCTCATTGGTCCCATGCAGACAGAGATGTAGTCTATGCAGTAAAGAATTTTTGGGATCCTTGAATCTCAGAACTGGAGAGAACCTTAAAATTTATCTTGCCTGAGACCTTTGTTCTCTTGATGAGTAAAAAGAACCCAAGAGAAGTTGAGCATCTGACCAGATCACCCAGTGTTTTGCCCACGATGGAAACCTCCTGACTGCTAGGTTTTGCATTATACCATGCTGAGGAAGGAGATGTTCAGGCCTTCTGCAAACGATGTTTCTGGGTTTGTTGCCTCCAATCTCAGGAAATTCTTGTTCTGAAATTCTTCATGTGGTGACCCACATTCACTCGTTTTTGTGTCTGCATTGGAGACAAGTAGCACAAAGTATCATAAACTGTCCTTTATAACCTTTTTCTTGACTCCCAAGTGACAGTGACAGGACCAGTGTTTGACTTCTTACAAACTCACCCCCTTTACAAGGAGTCGTAGTAAAGCTCCCAGTGTTGCCCATGGCTGTGAAACTCATTCCTGGCTCCATTCACATCACTCCAAGTCGTTTTTCGGTCTTTCTGGTTTAGATGTATGGATGCCTTTACAGGTGAGAATGTGACTCTTGGAGGATGATGAAGAGATGGTTCACTTTCCTTTAATGCCCTTGACTTGGTGGACCCGAGCTAATTTGCATGCCTGATTTAGCTTTTACTGCCATCTGCTGGAACCCCCTGATATGCACCTCCAACACACCTCTGCCCTTATTTAGAGTTGACCTTCAATGAGCTGTTGTCCCCCTCTTACCTGGAGGTCAGAAGGTAAGAAGAGATGTGGCCGCATACATCGAGTTGGGCCCCAGCATCCTCATCAAGCTTCCACTTCTCCTCTAGTCGTCAGGGCATCCCACCGGCAGGGCATCCCACATCTCAGTGTCTTTTAAAAATGCTCCTCATGTCTTAGACCCTTTCTGACTCATGAGTTCACTTTGGAGTGGTGATTTTTGTCCTTTGGGCTTTTGATTTTAGACACTAATATGAGAGATGTACAAAGCAGTATCAGGGTTTGCCACACCATGGCCAAAGGGAAGACAATTGGGAAGGGACACCATACTTGTGGTGAAGAGTGTTGCCTTGTGATTTTCCATGGGTATGATGGGAAGAAGGGATTAGTTCTGATGTGCAAATAGAGTCATGATGGTGGCCATGTTTTGCAGCCACTTTTTCTGACCAGAACCGTAATTTGATAAGTTTAACACTCATGATGGTTTTTGTAGAAAAGGGGCACATGTAAAATTAACTTTTGATTTTTATTTTGGGTAAATTAAGAATGTTTGGATTTTTTAAATTATAAAACAGTTAACTGTTCAATGAAGAACATTAAAAAAAAATAAAGACAAAAGGAGGAAAAGGAAAAGCCAAATCTTATCACCTTGAGATAATGACTGATAACATCATGCTCGTAACTTTTGAACATGATATATGCATATATTTTATATAACTATAAATACTAATTTGCTCATTCATCACTATGTCCTCAGCATTTTCCTGTGTAATCATATATTCTTCAAAAATACGATAATTAATGGTGATGTACGATTTCACTTTAAGGATGTACCATGTTTTAATTAATTACCGTTCTGTTACTTGCCATTTAGGTGATTTTTAATTTTCGTAGATGCATCTTAAAAGAACTTTAAAAGAACGCTTAATTTGCTAAATGACTATTTAAGCAAAACTTGGGGATTGTTGTTTTAACTTCTGACACAATTCCAATTTCATGAATCACTGATAGGGACTGACAGTTTGACACATATGATTAATGTGGGTGTCTGGGGTTGGTGATGTAGTTCTAATTCCCGGTTGGAATTAGAATATCAGGTTGGAGACATGGCTTGAGTAGGCTTACGGTGTCCATGAATACCAGTTTATTTGTACATGCACAGGCAAGGGGGCAAAGGGGGCTGCGATTCTTCGGGCTTGAATCCTTCCAGCAAACCCATGTGTGTGTAGGCTCTTACTGGACTTGAAAGACCCTGATCATCTAAGTCTGTGTATCTCACTGGGGGGGGTTGGGTCAGATGACTTTGCCTCCTTGCTTAGCCCTCTACCCACAGAGGACATTCGGCTATGTCTGGGGATTTTTGGATGTCACAACTGGGGTGGGGGTTTGCCACTGGCATCTAGTGGGTAGACACCAGGGATGTTGCTGAAAGACAGCACCCCCACAGCAAAGAATATCTGCCCCAAATGTTAGTAGTAGAAATCGACTTCTTGGTTGAATGCAGGTGTTTCCAGGGAATGCTGTCTCCATTCACGGGTCTAAATCTTGATATTCTTCTCTTTACACCATGTCCTTTCTTACAGCATCAGGAAAATAATGCTTGTTCTGTCGGTGTTGTAATTGTCATGTTATAACAGAAGTAGCCCTTAACTTTCATAGATTTGATATTCCTAAACATCATGTATTTTTGCTAATTGTACTGTGACATTCTGAAACTGTCTTTTACATACTGCGTTTTGTGTACACCAGCTGAGGAATGGATACTTCTGGTTGTAACACAGAGGTGCCCCTTGCTGCTGCAAGTTCCTTTTCAGCACATTGGCTGTCTTGGTGTGGAAGTGTATTTCAGTGCATTTGCTTTCCTATTTTATTGCATTCTTCTGTTTTTCTCGGTAAATGGAAATGGAAAAGAAAAAAAGGAAGTTGTAGTTCTGTGGGTAAGAGGCATAGGTTTCATGAACATGATACATAAACATCAACATTGCATCGAAAATGAGAGTAATTAGGCAAGTCAGGAGGAGTACATCTTTAACCCCAGTCAGATGCTTATCAGCTCTAGACTGGTGGAATATATGATCAATTATGAAAGAAAATCAATTTAATGAACACATACAACATACTGAAAACACGTTGCTGAAGATTGTGTTAAAAGGGTAAAGTTTAACGGTACTTTATAAATTCACCTCTGAAGAATAGCGGCTGTCTTGTATATGCTCTGTAGGACTGTTCACTTGTTCACTTGTTCACTTTTGGCATATTGACTTTTGGTATACATTTTCAGGACTGTGTTGTATGAAAATAGAGGCCAGCTCCTTGTGGAAAGTCTTTACCTCTGTCCTTGGCTGAAGACCCATCTACGGTATGTGAAGCCAGGAAGAAAGGAAGATTAAGAAATACAGTATTTCTGCTTTGATTCCCAAAGGTATTTGCTTTTTTTTTTTTTTTTTAAGGTGTCTGCCTCTATTTCAAATATTAATGCCCATTAAATGGAACTATCCTCTGCATCTTACCAGTGGAAATGAATTTCAGGAGGTTCATTTCACAGCACACGAAGTACTTCCGTCTTGCAGTTATTTGAAGTCTAGACATGATTTAAACAAATGTTTAACCTTGAGAATAAAATTACAAAGAGATCCCAAATGCAAGGGTGTAGCTTCCCTGTCATGGGTATAAGTACACATTTGATTATTTTTTTTCCCTACTCCATTTTCCTCACTTTTCATGTTTTTTTTTTTTTTTTTTTTCCGGAATTAAAAAAAGTAGTGTTTCTTTAAAGAGTTTCATTGAAGAGTTGCCTTAAATCCTTTTGGGAATAAGGGCGAGAGTGGGGTGGGGAAGGAGCAGCTGGTTGTAGACTCTTGTAGTCAAGGCTGTGGATTATGGAATCAGATCAAACTGAGTATTCATTTGGATTCTACAATTTACCAGCAGTCCACGTGGCCTAGGGCAGACCGTTTAATTTCTTTGTGCATTAATTTTCTTGACTGAAACATGGAAATCGTGGTAGGCTGTAAATTTTAGGGCCGTGAGAGGGATCCATGAGACAGTTCACCGGAGGTGCTTTGCGTGCTGTCTGGCTTAATAAATGGGCACCATTTATGATCATTATCCTTCCCCAGCCACCTCCCTGCCTCCCCAGGTGAGCTCGTTCTGAGTTGCCGCCTTTCTGCCCAGGACATGCATTCCTTTCCTTTTGTACATGAGAAAATGGGCCCGTCTCAGTGCTTGCTGACTTCTCACAATGCCTGGACATACTCTACCCACTTTGCCGAGAAAGTTCCCAGAGGCATTCAAAATAATTCTCAGAATATCTAAACATTGTCAGTGCTGGCTCTGCCCAGGGGAAAACAGTACAGATATCCCAGGGGCAGGGCACCGCTTGACTATTCAGTCATTTGCTCCATCTTTGCAGGAAGTGTGGAAACTGCCCCCCATTGCTGCTTCTCTCTCGTTACAGAAACATCCATCAGTGGCTGATTTGTGGTGGTTTTGATGGTGACAGATTTCACCAAATATACAGATTTGCTCCTTGGAGATTACGATGCTAGTAAATTAGTCATAAGGATTTATATTACATGATAAAAGAGCTCTTTGATTTCCTCAGTCCTTCACGTTACTCCTTGTGAAACAAAACAGCTTGCCTCCTTAACCTCCCAAGCTCCCAGACACGACTCTGCAGGGTAGGATCATGAGCTGCTCATGAAGACCTGATGCACAAGGATGTTGAGAATGGGTGTTTCCTAGGCCTTGTTTTCCTGACATGTGTCTTTCTCATATGTCATTAATTTAAACGGAACAGTAGAGATAATGCTAAAACGCCCAGACAGTCCAATTTAAAAGCCAGGCAGATTTTCTTTCCATACTTTGTAGATTCGACAGGCTGTACAGACTCCCCCCCGTTCTCCCCAAAAAGTCAAACCCACGTCAGAGATGTGTTTCGCTGTTGGGCAGAGCAAGCTGCAGCACCCCTGAGATCATCTGAAACTCAAGACTGGTATCTTTACCAAAAAGGATGCAGCACCTTTAGGACCGGTAGACATAGACAAAGTCATTGCGGGTTGTGTTTCTGAGTAGAAATTGCTCAGGATTAAAGGATTCCCACCCCCGGGACTTTAGGGGAACAGGAATTCATTACCTACTTGCTAGGAATTCATTACGTACTTGCATTACTACCTACCTGCCCTCACCTATTCACGGTATCTTTAGATTAGACTTTGGACAATTTCTTTGCCCTTTAAAAGAATCTATATGTTAAAATAAGGTAGGAAATCTTGGCTTAGTTTTCTCAGTTGATGTATTAGGGTGGCAGAGAACTGAGCTGGAGGGTGACAAGTTCCATTTTGAGTTAATCAGCACAGGCCTCAGCAGGGGTAACCCATTCACGCACCTCCGCGTCTGCTACGAATCCACTGCAGGCCCTCGACATCCCCTCCACTTGGAGGCTGGACTCGCAGCTTTGCATCATTGCACGTCCTGAGGGTTTTGTGTTGGCAGTTGATCCCAGCTATATTTTGTAGGGCTGTGTTTAGAAGAAACCAGAAAGTCGAATAAGGTCTGTGGGCAGATTCGAGGGCAGTTAATCAGCCAGTTCTGGCTCAGAACCCATATCTATGGTCTGGATCGATTTCGAGGGGGTGGAGGGTGTTTTATTCCATTCAGGCTGCTATAATAGAATACTCTAGACTGTGTGGCTTATAAGCAACAGACACTTATTTCTCACAGTTCTGGAGGCTCGATGTCCAAGATCAAGGTGCCGGCAGATTCTATGTTTGGACAGGTTGTACTTCCCGCTTCATAGATGGTTGTCTCCTTGCTGCGTCCTCCCAAAGGCCCAACCTCCTAAGACCTCACTTTGTGGATTAAGCTTCAACATGGGAATTTTCAGGGCACATGAAAATGTAGTCTATACTGGGGGGTCGGGGGTGGTAGTGCAGAGGGGAGATTGGCACTCTACCTCGCTGTGTCGCAGTTTGCTCATCTGTACGATGAGAGACAGAACCTCTTCCAGCTATAAAATTTTGATATTCTGGAAGGCTGGAAGGGATCCCAGGAATTCTTTGGGGGAATGGGTGGTCAGGATCTTCCTGTAGCTCAGTGATTCTCAGGGTGTGTTCTCTTGTGGCATAAGCAGCAGCTGGGGGACTTGTCAGAAATGTGACTTCTGGAGCCCCATCCCACACCTATTCACTCGCACTTCTCTTGTGTTCTGCCCAGCCCTCCAGATGGTTCCTTTGCATGCTCAGATTTGAGAACCACTTCTAGAGAGAAGCAGTTGTCTAACTGGGCTGTATCTGGAGAGCTTCCAAGAATACTGATACCTGGGTTTTGCCCCTGAGATAATCTCGTTCAGTTGGTCTGGGGTGTGGCTTGGACATTGGAAAGTTAAAAAATTTCCCCAGGCAATTGTATAATCAACCAGAGCTGAGAAACACTGTTGTGGAGAACTGACCAGATAAATCAGAGTCTTTTTTTTTTTGTTTTAAAGATTTTATTTATTTATTTTAGAGAGAGATAGAGCACAAACCAGGGGGAGGGGCAGGGGGAGAGGGAGAGAGAATCTCAAGCAGACTCTGCACCGGCCATGGAGCCCCTGATGTGGGGCTCCATCCCACGACCCTGAGATCATGACCTGAGCTCAAACCAAGAGTTGGACACTTAACTCACTGAGCCACCCAGGCGCCCTGATAAATCAGAATCCTAATGCTAGTGTAGGGGACCAAGGCCCAAGACTCTGAATTTTTTAAAAAAGATTTATAGGGAGGGACAGAGGGAGAGGGAGAGAGAGCGTTAAGGAGACTCAGTGCTGAGCTCGGAGCCCGCTGTGGGGCTCAGTCTCATGACTCTGAGATCACAACCTGAGCTGAAACCAAGAGTCGGAGGCTCAACTGTGCCACCCAGGTGCCCCAACTCTGAATTTTAAGAAGTTCCTGTGTCAGTGCAGGTCCTTCAAACAACAGGTGCCAAAATAGGCTTGGACGTGCAAGTTGTTACTGGAGGATATATCTGTGTTCATTTCCTAGAGTTACTGAAATGAGTGACTGCAGACTTGGTGGTTTAGATGACATAAATTATTCCCTCTCAGTCCTGAAGAGCAGAGGCCTGGCATCAGATGTCAGCAGCTCATGCTTCCTCCGCAGGCTCTTAAGGGAAACGTGCTTCCTTGCTTCTCCCAGCTGCAGGTGGATGCAGCTGTGGCAGTACTGTAATCTCTGCCCCCGTCTTCTCATGCCTCCTCTGTGTCTTTGCATGCTCCGTCCCTCTTACAAGGACACCAGTCATCCCAAATCTAGGAAGATCTCATCTCAAGATCCTTAATAACATCTGCAAAGACCCTGTGTGTTTTCCAGATAAAGTCACATTCACATTCTGGGTACACATGTCTCTTGATCTGTAATGCTAGTGAAGGAGAAAGGGGTAGGGTGCAGCAGAAGGTAGGGAGAGCGCTTAGATGGAGATGCAGGTCTGACTCTTGTGATAAGAGAAAAAAAGGATTGTGTGAGAAGAGCTTCAGCCTACTGTTGATCTAAGAAAAGGAATTTTTTAAAGATTTTTTATTTATTTGAGAGAGAGAGCAGAAATTGTGACAACATGACTGAGGGTAGGGCACAGGGAGAGGCCATGAGAGAAGCAGACTCCCCGCTGAGCAGGGAGCCCGACGCGGGGCTCGATCCCAGGACCCTGGGATCATGACCTGAGCCGAAGGCAGACGCTCCACCGACTGAGCCACCCAGGTGCCCTGATCTAAGAAAATTTTAACTAGGCTGTTGGGAGTGCCTCAAAATTGCTGGGTTGAGGGGCACCTGGGTGGCTCAGTTGGTTAAGCCTCTGTCTTCAGCTCAGGTCATGATACAGGGTCCTGGGATCGAGCCCCGCATCGGGTTCCCTGCTCAGCGGGGAGTCTGCTTCTCCCTCTCCCCCTGCTTGTAGTCTCTCTCTCTCTCTGTGTCAAATAAATAAAATCTTAAAAAAAACAGAACCTTTAAAAAAAAAATTGCTGGGTTAAAATGAATTCCCAGTGTGTTGGTATTAGGAGGTGGGGCCTCTGGGAGGTGATTTTGTCCTGAAGGTAGAGTCATCAGGAATGATATTAGTGTTCTTACCAAAGAGGCCCCAGATTGCTCTGTCATCACTTTTCCTGTGTGAGGACACAGGGAGAACTGGGAAGTCGCTCCCACCAGACACCTGCTGATGCCTTCAGCTTAGACTCTTCAGTCTCCAGAACTGCGAACATAAATGTCTGTTGATGATAAGCCGCTCAGCCTGTAGCACTTTGTTGTGTGGTGTTTTGCTGAATCCACCTGCAGTATCTGGACGATACACTCACCTGTGCTCCCAGCAGCAGCTTCTCTTGAAGGGAGATGAGCGTCACAAACTCCGT